ATTAAAAAAAAAAAGACTATCTTTACTATGCTGATGGGCAGTGACTGTAAAGGAGCATGTGATGGGATTTGATAATGGAGGAAATCTAGTAACCACAATGTTGTTCATGTAATTGTATATTAATGGTAACAAACAAACAAACAAACAAATAAAGACAAGCTTCAAAGGAAAAATTCAAACAAATCTTAAAAGGGTAAAATAAAAATTTGATTGAATCTAAATTTTCACTTCCACTCTGATACTTCGGTCCTCTTTAGTTCTATAGAACTGGAAACACAATTCACTAATAAGACAATCACTGGGCCTAAATAAAAACTTAAGAAATTCCAAATGAGCGTCCTATAGTATTAGCATTAAAAGTCTAAATGAAACATTCTTCCAACTATGGAGCCAAAGAAACTGCCAGACAATTCTTAATAGAACACATCTTTTAAGACTACTTGACATAATATACAGATTGTTGAATAAATTATTCTATAATGCCCTGAGTGATTACACTGACCTAATTCTTGGTCTGGTCCAGATCAACAGTCCAAGAAATATCACTCTTCCTAAGCAAAAGACATGCCTCTTTGAAATAAATTATTATAAAACTGTTCCAGTATTACAGGATAATTTCTTTAATGTTTTAAGTTACAAAACCATAATTTCAGTTCTAAATTCTTAGAATAATAAATCCAGACAAGGCTTTTAAGTGACTTTAATAAAAGTAATAAATACATGGCTTTGCTATAAAGTAAAAAAAAAATTAAATTTCTCTCAGTGAAACTGTATAGTTTCTTCTGTCTAAAACCTGTGTGCATCATGATTTTATTTAAAATAGTCTTTAAGAATTTTTCTTATCCAACCTAACTATATAGTTAGAAATAAACTTACTACAACTATAACAGATCTTCCCCCAAATTTTTTAACTTGCAACAATTCTATTCCTAGTATTATCTTAAAATTACAATTCAATAATTTTATTATAAGAATCATACAATAATTTAAGGATAAAGTATTTGAAAAGCTTTTTTTCTGAGACCTAATTGACATATAACCTCATATTATTTTGGTGTATTTTTTTAAATTAAGCTTTAAACTCACAAAAACAAATCTGACCGTCAAATTCACTAGGAATATTAAAGAGGAAACATCTAGAACCTTCTGAAGAAGTAAAAAAAAACCAGGTCCTTGGCAGACTGCTGATATTAAAGAGAATGGCTAAAATTCTCAAGCAATAATTTGGCAACTCTTCAAGAAGGATAAATAAAAAGATAATATGTTTAATAATAAAACAAACATGCAAAAGTGTCTTTTAAACCAGACCTAATAAATATCAATTCCTATTTATTTTCCTATCCAAAGTTTACTCTTAAATCATTTCCTGAAATAGTAAACATTAACTTACAGGACATGGATCACATCAGTAAAAACAAAACTCCCAACAGTCATACCCTTCTTTCAAATTAAAGACCTTGAGTTTTTCTTGAATTCTATTACTGCTAATTTTCAGTGGATTGCTATGAAGTTAAAAATAAAACCAAGAGCAACCTTCAAGTAAATCATGTAATCAGGTGATTTTGTAAACAACTCTATACATCTTTTTATTCTTAAACAGATGTTTCAAAATGCTTCGAGTGTAAAACTTGATTCAAAAACTGAATATATTGTTAAATAGGCAATAAAACAACAGATACACTCCAATGTATTATAGTAAATTTTAACACACTTTAATATAACCAACTTCTCTTGTTACCAAGTGGTGCTGGCCCTCATCTTTCCATCTCTTATTTTAATAACAGAAACCTAAGACTACAAAGTGACCTACTTAAAAAACAGGTTGCAGATATAAAAATATGAGCATTTTCTTGCAGATATACAACCAAAGTAAAAATAAACTAAGTTACCCAGAGCCCCACAGTTCACTTATGGATTTATCCAACAGTGATTTTTCTCCATGGCAATTTTATAAGGTCTTATATGCTGGAATTATGCATAAGAACTTTTAAATTTGAGTAGTTCAAAAGTTCTGTTCAATACTAAAATCCCAATTCTATTTTCTGAGAGGAATAAAAAAAATTAACCAACAAATCAAAAAATGGAAAATGCATGGAGTCAAAGCAATCTATTTGTTTCCTCATTTAAAATGACCTACATAAAATACTGTTAGAGACTCCAATGGAAGAAAACACTTAAATTTGGGTTCGCCTTGCATTCCCTAAAAAAACACATGCAAGTTGAAATGCCAGTCTTCTTGTGATAAATGTTACTCAGTATAATATATATGTTAGTAATTTTGTTAAATGGGGCAGACACAGGTATTAAAGCCTAGAAAGACAAAAAATATAGTTTCTAACTATACTACATCTTTTCACAACAAAAACAGAGCTCCAGCATTTCATAAGTAATATTTCTATCACAGTAGTAACCATAGAAGCTGAAGGAAGGTAAAGTTCACTTTGTGTCAAATGTGTGAAGTTTATGCTCTTCTGTACTAAAACAAGGGCAAAATACAATAAACTTTTAAGAACATGAATACTGCTGTACATAGATAGTATGTCAATCTCCATATCCACACAGAATTCTTAAACATTAATGTCAGCATCTGCATGATGATACCTGAGTGATTCAGGGTTGACTAACCACATAAGGTACAAAAGTCTGGCTCACAAAATTATATAAAAGTAGAACATGGAAATGTAGGGATCACCTTGTATCTTTCCCAAAATGTTTTATGAAAGGACAGGTGGGAGAGGAGAGGGGAACATACTACTAAGGATACATTGAAGAAAGGTGCCATAAATATGCAGTTATTTTTAACTGTCAAAATACTTAAGAACATCTAAAAGCATCTCATCCACAGTAAGTGCCAAGCCCAATAAATGTGAGTAAATAACTTATTTAATCAAGATCAATTAAAAACTGTCAGATTATCTTCATCTTACTGTCTAGCACATTAAAACACCATTAGTATATTTAAGTATATACTATTGATATATTTAAGTAAAGGAATTTTTAATTCTGAGCTAAATCATTAAACAAAACATGACCCACACTTTGGTATTACTTGAAAGACCCATGGCTTTCATCAGTATACATGTGTTGATGTAATACAAAAGTCCTGATTATACATTTTGTATGTCCTCATCTCTAAATGTCTACTAAACATAACCAATTATCAAACGTTCCCCCAACACCACAACTAAAAACAAAGAAAACGTGAGAAAGGCAAATCTTTTGTGAAAATATGTGGTGATAAAATAAGCACTGACCACCTATTTGAAGATCAGACCACCCATCTGATCCTTAATCCATTACAGCTGAATGATCTAACACCTGAAAAAAGCTTTAAGCTTATATGAGAAGTTATATTCATACAAGTTAAAGTATTTAGGAAACAAGTTACAGACTCTAAATTTTACACAGAAGACACTGAAAAAGATAGTGTATTATTTCTGATTCAACTAGGCCTTATTAGTTTTTAAATAAAACAGTAAAATAATCTTAATTTGTAACTTGTTCTATCATACTTTTAAAAGCTACTCAGTAAGATTCAAACGTTTTCTATTTGTTTACATAGCTCTCCAGGAAAAGCATACAGGCTGAGAAGATTCTAACCTTGGAAAGTTTTTTCACTGTTTCAATTTCTAAATTTGTAAAACAAGCATATTATGTACTTCAAAAGAGGGCAGTATGGTTGCTGAATTTAGGCACTGTATCAAATTGCTTAGGTTCAAATGCTTGCTTGACCAAATATTACTATCTGGTTATCTATGCCTGTATTTCTTAAGGATTAAATTAAATTACATGCTAAAAATTAGTTTAGACATGTGTTGACAATTACACAATATAAATAATAGATAAACGGAGGTTCAGTTTACTATTCTCACTCTTACATGTTAAAGTTGCCATAATAAACTTTTTCTTACAATTTAGCTTAGAATTATACTGGCATAAAATAAGGGTTCAATACATGCTATTTTTATTACCCTGCAGGCTACCTGCTGAGATTAAAAGGAAATAATACATAAAAGTGCCCTGCACTGTGCCTAGAATGGTGTGTATTTAAGATAATGATCCCCACATCATCCTTCACAATCAGTACTCAGTAAATGGTCTTGACCTGTTTGGGACTATTTAATAGTTAAGTATAAGCTACTGTATTTATGACTCACCTTTGACAGAGATCTACAAGTTACATTATCAACTGTCAATGGGCTCCAGACATACAATGTGTGCACAATGTTAACATCAACGGTATTTTCTAATTTCAAATGACCGAAATTTTGACTGCTTATATTTATCTTACTGTCTAACACTCTACAAGATTGCCTTAAAACAACTTATAAGCATTAAATGATAACTCAAGATAACAATTCAAGAATCACCTAAGTGAAGACTCATCAGCACAGAAGATGGGAGACTATCAGTTAACTAGAACAATGAACTGGTCTGATCAGTATACTAGTTGAACTAGAGGGGAATTAGAGTGCTAGAGATAGACTTCATGTCATTTCCTAAGCAAAGACATCAAAGAGGTCTACCAAATCATTAACTCTACTAGCCAAATTTGTTTTAAATTGGACACAGTTAAAGAGGTTTTTTTTAATCCCTTCGATCAATTATCCATGGTAAAGCAGCAAAAGTGTTAAAGATGGTTGCATGCATAATATTAAAGCGAAATAACTTCAATTCCCACTTTGGAACTCTAGAGGGCACCAGTAATATGCCCTCCACACTACCCCTCCTCCCTGGTAACGTGAGCAGCTGCAGGAGCCGTCGTCTGGTTGCTGAGGTTGGTATTGCAGCAGCAGGAGAGATGTCTGCAGCGGTGGAAACAGCAGCGCCCACTCCCAGCTGCCTCACCAGTCATTACCCAGGCTTCGCCCCGGGGGCAGCTGCCACCCAAGGGAAAGCTCCTCCCACTCAAAACAACGGGGACAGACAAGTCCCATGGCTGAACCCCTACAACCTGACAACGTCCTCCAAGAGCAACAAATTAGGGGCAAAGGACTCACAATGGGGGTGTTTTCCTCCTCACTTTCTGCCAAAGATGCACACCAGTCAGGACTGAAGGCGATTCCTGGTCCTGGGGTAAGAGGAAAAATGAAAAATGGATCAAGAGCATCTAACCAGGTGGGAGAACCAAGCCCTTTCCACCAAAAGGAGGCCGAGAAGGGAGTAAGAGGTCAAGGAGGTTCGGCCCTTCTATTATTAATCCCCAGCACGCGATCAACGAACCCCTCCTATGTAAAGTGGAGCAAAAAGGCGTATAATATCTATATGGGACCCTAACCCACGTGAAAGGCAAAATCTAGAGGGAGGAGGCTGGAGGGCACCAAGCCTTCTCCTCGGAGGGGAAGGGGGGAAGGGCAAACATTGCCTCGACGCCAGCACGGGAATTGAATTCCCTCCTAAATTGCCCACCTAGCATCTTCCCCGTCACTCCGGCCACCAATTCGGAGATCAGGAGCGGCTCACGTCAACGCGGGGCTGAAACCTCCCGTATGTGCCTCAAGCAGTTACCCTGGGCCCAAGACTTACCCCCCACCCCCCCGCAGTCGGCGACCGGCAGCGCTGCCTCCCCGTCCGCCATTAGAGACCCAGCCAAACAATACGTGAGGAGCAAGAGCCGCGCAGCGCAGCGCCGGGAAAGAGCGAGGAGGGAACCCGGCGTGGGGGAGACAGCACCCTCGCCCCGAAAAACTTGGGGACCTCGGGCCTCGGCAGGGAAGGTTCGGGAGCGCAGCCCTGTGAGCGGGAGAAGACCTCAGGCGCCCCTCCCCCCGTCTCCACTCCCTCCTCCCCCCGCAAGAAAGAAAGAAAAAATACCCCGCGACCTCCCGCCGCCCCGGCCCGGGCGGACCCCGCCCCCGAGCGACCCCGGCCCCGGCGGCCGCCTCACCCGGCCCGCCCGGCCTCGCCCTCACGCCTGAGCCCTGCGGGCCGCCAGCGAAGGCGCCCGCGTCATGAACCGAGCCCGGAGCAGCCCCCGAGGCCCGACGCGGCAGCGGACGGCAGCCGCGCCGCGGGGTATTAATCCCGGGTCGGTGGGAGGCCCCGGAGGCTGCCCTCAGCCATCTCCGCCTCCCCAGTCGCCTCCGCCTCTGCCTCCTCCCTCCTCCGGAGGCTGCGCTGCTCCCAGCCACCCCCACTACCCGCAGACCTGGACTAGAAAGACAGCGGGGACAAACCTCACCCGGTTCTGGTTGCGGCGCCGTGCAACGAACCCCCGCCTCCCCCGGCCCACCCCTCTTCGCAACACGCACAACTCGGATCGGTCCAGTCCCGGCTTTAGCGCTGGTGAGGAGCAGGAGGCGGAGGAGGCGGCGGCAGCGGCGAGGCTGAGCCCAGCGAGGCCCCGCCCGCCGCACCCTCACTGGTGGCTGGGGAGGGCGGGCCGAGGCACCTCGGGCACGTCCATTGGATGCCTCTGCCTTCCTTCAGGAACCCCACCCTCGAGGGGGTGGCTCGGAAGGCCGTCCATCAGGCTCAGGCCACACCCCCAGCGCTGCCATTCCACTCCCCGCTCCGCCAGCCCTCGGCTCTCAGCCGCGTCCCTCCCCTCCTCTACCCCCCCGCCTCCCACCCTACCCCCACCCCGGGTCCGTCAGGGTCAGGCAGCCCGGGTGTCGCTGCCCGCTGCACCGGCCGTGGGCTCGGTCCCTGGGGTCTGGGGGCTGTCCGGTGCCCGCGCAGCCCGAGAGGCTGAGGCCGGGACCGCCTGCCCTCGCTCGGGCCTGGGCGCCTAGGCCGCTGCAGCCGCTCCAGACGACCCTGCCCGAGGAGAGACGCGGCCTCGATGTCCCCAGCGCTCTCCCTGTCCAGTTCCTTGAAGCCCCCCGTGAGGGGCAGGCCCGGGCAGGGGCTGGAGCCGGGCAAAGTGGGAGTTCGGGGCAGCGGGCGAAGTGGATTCCCGAGTTCGCTGAGGGGAGCGGACGCACTTCCAGCCTCGCTTCACCCCCGTGGGGAGTCGTCCCCCCACCTCCCGTCATGGCTGCAGGAGGAGACGACGTCCTCCATTTTGTAGGGACCGCTGTGGGAACTTGGGACCAATTCAAAACCAAACCTCGTGGGGCTGGGAAACTTGTCCCCGGGAAGCCCCAACTGGGCTCCGCCATTCGACCGAGGGGACAGCCCCTGATGCCAGCGTCTGCACCCGCAGGGTCTTGGGGGACAGGCGCGACGGTGGGGAGACCCAGTCGCCGCTCCCTGCCTCCATCAACCAAGATGGAGGAAGCTGCGGGCGCCCCTGGAGCTGGGCCCCCGCCTGTTGGAAGGGCAGGAGCGTCCCCTCGGTGTGTCCCTCGGCGCTTGGGCTTCCTCCTCCGCGGCCTCTTTCGCTTGCCCTCCCCCAGCCTCTACCCAGCCCCTCCACTGCCTTCCACCATGTCCTGGCCCTCAACGGCTGATGGAGGCTCCAACCAGTCTGCTCCATCGCTGCGCCTGACCGTGACCGGCCTAGCCGCAGGCAGCGGAGCGAAGGTGCAGACTGCTGCCACATCGACGCTCGGGCTTCTCTTTTGTTTCTCGTCTACACCTACGTCTTCGGGGCACGTCATGGTGCTGTGCGATTTCCAAGATTCCATGTAAAGGTGAACGCCAGACCGCTTTCGTCTCACCCTAGCGGTGGTTAGTGGGATTACGACGGACGGTGGTGGAGAAATAAATGGATGAATGCATTAGACTTCTCACTTTGTTATCTAACACCACTGCTTATTAATAAACAGACGTATGATGTTAAGATCTAAAGTTGAACACGACGATGATGAACATGGAGTTTTTAATGAAGTTAATTCATGAAGGTCTCAATAATGTCTTTAAATTTCTTCTGATAGACGCCATTGAGATTATGATCAAGTAGAAATTGAGATAAATTCATTATGAATTTTATAAAATCTATGAATCCTTCTTTTAGAGCTAAATGCAACAAATATACTCTTCTTATTTAAATTGAAGAACATCCAACATGTATTTCAACCAAGTTTCTCAAAATAGTAATCACTTTTATTTTTCAGCATTTTATTTCATGATCATAAATTTAATTTTTCAATATGATATACTTGTAAAACTACATTACACAGCATTGTTTTGCACTGACATTCTTGATTTCAGTATCTTTACAACAGAAACGTTTTGTATTACCAAATACACAAGATTATAATAATTCTGTGAAAACTTAAACCAACCCTTTTCTGTTACTATGTACCATTCCAATAACTTCTGCTCATTAAGTTTATAGTTAGAAAGCTTGAGTAGAGAGACTTCCAAACAAAGTCTTTCATATCACATGCTGTTCAATTTGAAGACGCTCTATACTGCTATTCCCTGGCATTATCCGTGTTTTTTATAATTGCTTAAGAAGATGAATTACAGTACTATATATTATTCATATTTTGTATTCCTTCACTCAGATCCATTTGTCATGAAAATGTTTAAGGAGTCGTCTGCATAATATCCGAGAGAATTTTAGTTGAGTGTATAGAACTTGAAAAAAACTTTTTGTGTCATAATTTCAAAAAAACATTAATTTTATATGAAAGTACTTTTAAAAATAAATATTTGAATATTAATAACAGCATTATTCATAATTTCCAAACGTAGAAACAACCCAAATGTTCATTAACTGATGAGTGCATAAACAAAAGTGATATATGTCCATACAGTGGAATATTATTCAGTCATAAGAAGGAATGAAGTCCTGATACATGCTACGAAATGGATGAACCTTGATACATGTGAAGTGAAATAAGCCAGACACAAAAGACCACACATTGTATGATTCCATTTATGTGAACTATCCAGACTAAATTCTAGATACAGAAAGTAGATTAATAGATACCTACACCTGGGGAGGTGAAAATTGATAGCTAAAGTATGTAGTGTTTCTTTCTGATGCAAAGAAAATATTCTAAAATGATTGTAGTGATCGTTGGACAACTGAATATGCTAAGTGCCACTGTTCGCTTTAAGTGGTTGTATGGTTTGGAATTAAAACTCAATAAAAAGCTGTTACTAAAAATGTGTGTATGTAATTATTCTGTACTAAACACAAAAGCACGCTAAGCATTGTAGGAAGGCAACCTGAAAACTTGAGCAAAAAAACAGTTATTCTGAGCACAGTTTAGGAGGCAGACTACCCTTTTTAATTCTGGCTTTACCCACAACTTGCTGGGTGATTATAGGCATGTGTTAACTTTCTAAGCTTTAGTTTTGACTACTCTCAGAGTTTTTGGAGGAATCAATGAACACACTATATAAAACTTGCACATCACACTTGGTAAGTCCTCAAAAAATGTTAGTTGTTGTTATAATTGATTTAGTGGTATATTGGAAAAATTCTTTATATCTTTTAGGAAGAGAAACATTAATATCTCTCCCATCACTACTGTGCTAGTGCATAACCAAAAAAATATGATCATCATCATCATCATGATAAACAGGTCAAATCTTGGAAGAAATGTACTTCAAATCAAGGTCTATTTTTTTTCTCAGAAAGATTTATAATCTATCTCATCTGACTATGGAAACTAGGAGACTACGAGGTCAGATAAAATAATTGCTTGGGGCTGGGGATTGGAGAGCTACTGTAGACTAGCATTTTGCCTTTTGCCATTGAAAAGGAAAATTAAAAGCAATATTTTAACCATTGAAGCACTGATGAAAATTTTCTATGGGAGAAGGAACAAAAACTGAAAGAAACTCAACATAGCTGATTGCCACATAAAAACTGTACCCTTGGTTCAGTGCTTCTAATAGAATTAAAAATAATTTTAAATAAAAATTGTTACTTTAAGCATGTTTGATTTTATTAATTTTATTAATTATACTGAGTGATGTTTGATATATTACAGCAATCAAAAATCTTAAAGATGTTATTTTACCATTGTACACAAAGAGCAAAGTCCTGATAAAATGAGTCAGTCATACAATTTTATGTAACAAACTGCTAGAATAGTACTTACAGTGCACAGGAATTGAACCCTGTTCATTGTGAAAAATAACTCATTATCCTCTTAACAACTCTATGAAGTAGTTAGTATTACTGTCCCGCTTTTACAGATGAAGAAACTAAGGCAAAGAAAGGTTAGGGAATTTATCCAGGATTACATAGCTAGCTGTGGTGGGGAGGGACTCATTGCCTTAGGATTCTTGGCTCCAAAGTACGTACTCTTAACCACCTCATCATGCTGCCTCTCCAGGAAAGTCTTCTCCTAATTCTTAGAATGTAATTCTTAAGCATATCATCTTAAATTATTTAAAGCACAGCAAAAAAAAATAGGACTTTCCAGACCTGTTGCTCACAAACTTTTTTGACCAGGACAACCACTAGGATATGCATAGAGACCTAGTACAAACACACCTGTTATACATAACTATATAACTGAAACAAAAGTTTCATAGAAGAATCCTTTCCTTCACAATCTTTGAAGGATTTTAATACTTTCTATTCTAGTCTACTTGAATTTAATCTATACTGTTGTATTTTTTTTTAAGTAAACAGTGTTTCCAGCCTAACAAATTGATTTCATGGCTTAAAACTGTAATTTGAAAAACACTGTTCTAGAGAGAGCAAATCATGTATAAACCTAAATATATGAAACACTTATTCCTTTACAACAATATATCTTAACACTTTACGAAACTGTAATGCAACTGGTTAACAATGTCTCTTGAGAAGCAATGTGATGATATCGGAAGAGAATGCAGAGCTGAAGTTGATACCGATGCCACCATTTATCATCTTGGTAG